TAAAAATTTTAAGACTCAAATTTATTTAAAAAAATAAATAAAAATAAAATAAAATATCTATAATTAAATTAAAATTTAGAATAATTTAATAGAGGCCCAGAGTTTGAATTTTACTAAGCAAAAGTTTGGTTTTATTTGATTTTTAACTATGGGAAAAATTACCAAAGTTGACCCGGGCTTTTGTGCAATAATAAAAAATGTTGGGCCCTTTCTTGTAATTTTCCCCAAAATTTTTGACCAGCAATTTAAAGGCCAAAACTGATGCAGAAACGCAGAGAAAATGAGCAAGGAAAGAAACGCACAAACGGGAGAGAGAGAGAGAGGAAGAAGAGAAGAGAAAGGGAGGGAGTTAGGCTTGGATCTAGGAGTCTTTGCGACCGTTGCAAGCTCGGCTACACGATAGGTAAACTCCCTACTTCAATCCTCTTCTCTTTCTCTTGATTTTCTTCAATTTTTGGAAGAGAAAATTTTTGGATTTTGATCCCAAAGGCTTTATTCTTGTAAGCTTTTGTTTCTTTGGATTCTAGGGAGCATGTTTTGAGTTTCTATATAGTGATCTAATGTTTTGAGTGGATAATTAGATGAAAAGAGGTGTTTTGGGCACAAAATAAACCTTGAAAAATTGGGTTTTTGCTCTTCAATGGTTTAAGCTTATTGATTTAGTTATAATTTTGCTATTTGAGCCCAATAAGATTTAAATTAAGGTTTGGTTTTCATTATAAGGGCTAATGGTGAAAGTTGGTGACACTAAGTAAAGGTTTTTAATTGATTAAAAAATTATATAAATTGAAAATTAGCCTAGTGATGGCTAATAAATGGTTTTGGTGGTTAAGTGATACTATGTGAATGGTTGGTTTAATATATGGACCATTAGGGTGGATTATGACTCATTGACCTAAGTTGTGTGGTATAAGTTATAGTCTTCATTAATGCTATTTGTCATGATAAGTGATGTGGATCACTTATATGTTGTAGAAAATTGTTGGTGGAACTTATTGAGAAGTAAGGAACAAGCCGAGCCCTATTTTGTACAAGGGGAACCCTTTTAGTACCAAAGGGTTGAGGTAACAGGGGAATTTATATTTCTTATTACTTTGTTTTAGCTATTTTTGAATAAATATTACTAGTTATCATGCATTACATGTTTTAAAAGATTAAATGTGCTTTATAAGGGGTTATGGGGTATTACTTTGATTATAGTGCAAATATGTTTTCTAATTGTTTAATAACAATGTTTTTATGGAAATGAGATTTATAAATATTATACTACTTTAGAGTGTTAAATGGTCAATACTCAGGAAAGGTAGACAAGAGTAAAAGGCATGATCTCGGTGGGAGTTCACCAATGAGAAGGTGTGGATTTTTGATATTCTATGGCACACTGTCAGTACTCAGTGTTGTCTTACGTATTGTGGGCTCAGTGCACTAAAGTGGTTAGTGTATTAAGTGTTCGACACCTCTCAGTGGGGGAGGGAATCCAACATATGAAGTGTGAGGTTGAGTGCCTAGGCCAAGGTAGCCCTCACATGGAAAGTAAGTTGGGCTGGCTCTGGGAGGGAGTTAGCTTCAACTGCTTAGGATTCACGTCGAAGGGGCATAGGAGGTTCGGTGGATTAGATCATGCCTTAGATTATGTTTTGTGCCTGTGGAGGTACAAGTAGGTATAAGGTTTACCTGCGAGTTAAAGAGTGCCAGGGGGCATTCTGTTGGTCATGAAAGGCCATACTGGCCTAGGTCATGCATTTATGCATTTTAAATGGCTAAATTGTATACTATGTTGAATTTATTATTCGTTTATTTGATTATGGCTTACTTTGTAATAATCAATGTAGATTTCGCTGTTACTGAGACTGTGGTTGTCTCACCCCTTTCTTTTCAATATTCTAGGTCCAGGCGAAGGATCCAGTGGTGGACGGGGAAAGGAGCAAAGCTAGGGGTTTGCTTGTGATTTGTAAAGAACTGCAACCCTTTTCTTTTGAGCAAATATATTGTAATGTATTTAAGATTAGGGTGCCAGTAGGATATGATTATGTGTGTGTGTGAATATGTGTGGATTGTGTGCTTGTGTATGAATTTTTGTCTGTTTGCAGACTTGTGGCTAGGAAACTTGGTTATGGTGTATGGTTTTGATGGATTTACTTAGTAGACCAAGTTTCTATTACAAGCAGATCTTTATTTTGATATATATGTGATTTTATAAGCAAATGCAAAGTGGTTGCATTGCAAATGGTGTGCTATGGGAAAACATACAGCTTGGATAGAGAGAGTGGGTGCGTGGGCCCCACAAGGAGCTCTGAGCCAAGTGAAAATGTTTAGCATATGTATTTATATAAATACATGGTATTTGGATTGATTTGTGACCACTCTTGTATGATTTGTGCATTTTGGGGGTTTAGGGTCCATTTTCGAAAATGGCACCCGGGTGGTCAAATTTTGATGTATGGGGGTTTTCCATCATTTGAATGTTCTATCAGGTGTTTTTAATCTTATTTGATGTGTCCAAAGTGTTTCCACAGGTTTGTGACCATTAGGATGGGATTTGGACAATTTTAAAAATGGTTTTTACCAAAAAGCTGTATTTTTGCATCCGGGTGTCCAAATCTTAATCCGACCGTTGGATTTCTCTAAAATTTGGGTCACAAGTAAAACCTTTTATAAGCTTTGTGTGGGCTTTGGAATTACGTCGATCGGATATCGGATAGAGAAACGACGCACTCCGGAATTTGGTCTGGAGGTGCTGTCATGACAGCATTAAATTGCTGTCATGACAGCTACAGTATTGATTTTATAACCTGCACAAAATTCAATTCGTCCGTTGGATCTTTTCAAAATTTAGTATGCTAATAGTATTCTTTAAAAGTGACATGTGGGCTTTGGAATTACTCCGATCGGAGGTCAGATGATGAAATGGTGCACTCCGGAAGTTGGTCCGGAAGTGCTGTCATGACAGCTTTGACAGCAAAAATAATCAAATTTTTAACATGTCTAATTTTAAATCCGACCGTTGGATCTTTTAGAAATTTGGTATACTTATAGTACCCTTTGAATGTGACGTGTGAGCTTTAAAATCACTTTGATCGGAGGTCGGATGGCGGAACGACGCCTCCCAGAAGTTGACTCGGGAGGGTTGTCATGACAGCAATTTAAATGCTGTCATGATAGTATCTTTTTATTTCTCTTTCGTCTAACTTGCTTCCGTGCGCTATAGTTAGAACCTATAATTTTTTTAAGGTTTTAAATGTTTACTTTGCAATCGTATATTTGCTTAGTGATTTAAATGGTTTGTTTCCTAAGTTGGTTTTAGGATTAACTCCTTAACCACACTTAGTTTATCTGAATTGTGTGATTTTTGGATAACACTCGGGGCAAGTGTTACATTTTACCTTCCATGATCAATATTATCACAATATTTTTGGATAACACTTAGTTTGTGTATTTCTTAATAGTGTAAAATATATCAGGTAGCCTTGTACGTTTAGCATGCACAGTTTTGGTATTAGTCCCTTTACGTTTTTTCATTCTTTCAAATTCCTTAAATTTTATATGTCTACAATGTTTATCTCTACAATTTTAAATATGACAAACCATGATTTAATAGTAGCTAACACAAATAATGTTACTTCTTATGTTGACTTATCAAAATTTTGTTAAAATATTTAAAAATAAGTATAACATTAAATTAAAATCTTTAAATGTAATGGATGAAGTTTCAAAAGGTCAAAAACATGACAGCTAGAATATATAGGTTGGAAAGTTATAATTTCTATAGATTTTACTCATATGATGTTAGACTCATCACAATTTTACCAACTAGTACATTTAACTTGTTCCGTGATAACAAGAACTCACTTTGCATACTAATAAAACTTAAAAAACTTAGAGCAACCAAAGAAAATACATGTCCCACTATTCTTTTGCGAAATCAGTGTTCTCCCGTGGGGATATTCCAATTCATTTTAACTCACTTTGGTGCTTTCTTGATCCAACTTTAATTTCTTATTGCCCCTTGATGTGTGGCTAAGCAAGTCCGCCATAGCTTTGAACTGAATGAATCGATCTAACTTCCAAGCTCCACACGATTTGGAGAGGCAAATTTATTTATTTATTTTAAACAAAGAATGGTGAGAGAAAGTCTACTTGAATTTAATGCAATATATTACGATAAGACCTATAATTACTGTTTACAAGGGAAAATGACGGAAGCGTTAGGTCAGCCTTAGCGTTAAAGTATGACAGATACTGACAAACAACGCTCCATGACGATGGCAATGAGAGAGATCCTTTACGAGTTAGTTCAGGGATTTCTTTAAATGTTTGTTCTCTGAAATCTGCATAATGATTTTAATATATTTCAATTAATGACCAAGAATTTACTCCCTCCAATCCAAGTTATAAAACATTTTATCCCGTTTCATCCTGGTTTAAAATATAAAATACTTAATAAATTTTGAAGTTATTTTTTTTATTTTACTCTTATATTTATTTACTTGATTTTTGTATAACTTTATTGATATTTATTATATTTTTTATTTTTTTATAATAACTAAATTTTTATTGGTTTGCAAAGAGGTTTATATTTTTTTATGTTATAATATTTTATTAAAAATATTATATCTTTTCCATTCAATTTATTATTAACAATTGAAAAAAGGTAAAAAAAAACGTATGATACTTATAACCAAAAATAAGGATATAATTGAATTTTATTGATATTTGAATTATAGTTAAAAATGTCTTGGACCGGAGGGAGTATCTGATCAGAATTCTGAAGTTATTAGATTACTCTGATGCGAGCTACCGTTAACAAAATGATCATTTCGCAATTAATCATCTTTCATTATGATTAATTATAAATTACAGAATTACAAATGAACAGATAATTACTGACACAACAGAAGTGTGGCCTTTCATATCCATGCATGCACCAATCAATCAAACTTCTTCACCAACAATAAAATCAAAAGCAATATGGAAATTTCTGGATTTATCCCATTCTCATCATACAATTTTACAGTAACCCATGATTTGATCTGTATCATATGTCCCACTAAGTGAACAATGACCACTCAAAAGATTATAAAAGATCAAAATCATTTCTGGAATCGAAACCGACCCGTTTTATGCGCTAATTTGATTCCAGAATTATCTCTACCTCTAGCTCTTCAGCAGCCCGGTTTCAAAATCCATAACATCATAACCCTTATTACATTTGTCAACCACGTTCCTCCATCTATAAGCCTATGTACAGAGAAGAAGCAGTGGCAGAGGAAGAAGACGAAGCAAGGGTAAAAGGAATTCATCATCTTTCTTTGAAAGTTCAAAAAATTGGTTGAAAATTATAAACCCTGTAATATATATGGAAAAAAAAGATGAAGCAGGCTCCTTTGAAACCATATATAAGATTTCGGAACCAATCAAGAAGCACCGTTTACAGATCACTCGGAGACTCCGAAATGCTCTCCAGGTGAGGTCTCCACACGGCGACGCGGCCTCGTCTTCTATCTTTCTGAGTCGAGAGCTTCTCGGAGAGTATATCCGTCAAGTACCTATCGGAGGAGAGACTCTGCAGATAAGCCATGGAAATGGCGGCGTTGCTGCTATCGCTATCTCTATCTCTGTTGGTCAACGTCCTCTCGCTCTGCTCCTTCTTCTTCCTCTTAGTTTTCGTCGCCGCCGAAGATTTGGGCCGGGTCTTCTCCTCCGGCGTGAGGAAGTAAATCTTGCCGCGTAGGAGGTCTGCGTCGGGAGGAACGATGACGATGTTGGGGACGACGCCGTCATCGTTGGCGGAGGAAGGGGAGCATGGTTTCTTGAGGACGTGGTTGGGGTAGGCCTTCATGACGTCGGCGGCCTTGATGGAGCCGCTGATTTCTTCGACGCGGCCATTGGAGTGGACTATGCGGATCACATCCAGTGCTCCACAGGGAAGAATGCAAGAGATGCAACACCTTATGGTGTTCTTCATGCCTGCTGGAACACAGAGCAAGAGAGAAGAGAGAGAGAGAGTTAAGTCATTTTGGGTAATGAAGGTGGGTGATTTTATTGGAAGCTTGATTGGGTTTTGAGATTTATTTAATGAAGAGCTTTTAGAGAATATTGATTTTGAAGAAGGAAGAAATTTATGGTATGAATAATGACACCACACTCTGTAATGGGACTTTTCATCCGTTATTCAGGGGCCCTCAGGTCAGTCCCTGGCCTCCACACGAACACACACACTGATGATATGGGTTTTTCAGTTCAATAATGTTAGGCTGCAGGGGGAGGAGGATATTAAAAGGTGGCACACATGTACAGCGCATGATTAGGGCTGCGCGCAAAAACTAACACCAATGAAGGATTGTTTTGATGGATTTAGATTTGGTGAATAGTATAAACATACATATGTTATATTTAACGAGTGTGTCGTGTGATACAATAATAATAGTATAATTTAATAGAATGGTTGTTAAAAATTTTGTTACATAATGCTTAAAAAGTATCAAATTTTAAATTTTTAAAGTGGATAACATATGTAAAAAATGTTTTGATTGCAGGGATCACTTTGAATTTTTGTAGTGAAATCTATATTAATAATTTTTTAATATTAATGAAATCTAACAATTGCAATTAAAACACTCATTAAGTAAATATAGTTAAGTCACTCACTTAAATCCAAATCTATGTCGGCTTTTCATGGGGATAGTCTTTAATTTTTCTACATTTCCAAGTATATTATATTTAGTCCAATTATACATGTACAATTTGCATCGTCTTTTTTTAGTAGAGATGAAACCTCTCTATTTTTTTGTCATCATTTTTCTTGAAAGAAAAATGATCATAAAATCCTTTTGAATTATATAAATGACAATCAGTTTTTTAAAATGTTATAATTTTAATGAAGTTCTTAGAAATTTCTTTATCAATAACTTTTTTTAGTGAAAAGACCATTTTACTCTTATTGAAAAATTATGATTTTTTATTCAATTTTTACAATTCTTTAAAAAAAAGTTATGATTCTTTAAATAAAATTGTGAATGGAGTTTGTTATTTTGAGAACTTGTTTTTTAATGATAGAAATTACACTTGACAAATTGTGATTTCTTGTTCAACTTTTGTAATTTATAAAATAAAAGCTATTATTTCTTAACAAAAAGTTGTGATTCAAACTTATTTTTCATTAACAGAAATTATACTTGATAAGCTATGATTTCTTATTCAACTCTTACAATTTACAGAATAAAAGTTATGATTGAAACTTGTTATTTTCAGTAAGAGTAAAATGATCTTTTTTTAGTGGAGATGAAACCTCTCTATTTTTTTTGTCATCATTTTTCGTGGGAAAAATGACCATAAAATCCTTTTGAATTATATAAATGACAATCTAGTATCTTGAAATGCCATAATTTTAATGAAATCCTTAAGAATCTCTTTGTCAATAACTTTTTTAGTGAAAAGACCGTTTTACTCTAATTGAGAAATTGTGATTTCTTATTTAATTTTTATGATTCTTTTAAAAAAGTTATGATTCTTTAAATAAAATTGTGAATGGAGTTTGTTATTTTGAGAACTTGTATTTCAATAATAGAAATTGTTGGATAGGGAGGCACAGCAAAAGATTAAAATTTTAAAGTCCTTATCCTGATATGGACCGAACGAATTCGTTTAAGTTAAAGTGGATGGAAGAGTTAACTTTTAATTCTTTAAAGTTGGCGCATGTTCTCTTCAAAAGTATGGATCTCAGGAGCTGACAACGTAGATCTGCTCCTTCTACCAATATCCACACAAACAACTCTTTAACTCAAATAACGTGCTAGCGCTCTTAGCATTCGTTCTTCTTTGAACGTTAATTTTCCTTTCTATAGGGTGTTTCGTGGCTCTCAGAGTGTTTTTACCGTCAAAACTTTTCTAACTTTCTCTTCCTTCATAAAGAACGTCCCTATCTATATATAGTATATAGATAAGGGTTTTCATCTTTCACTTAAAAGCCCACAAAAATTTAATTAAATTTATCTCATAAATTTAATTCATAATATCATATCCAATTTGAATTTATCTTATAAATTCAAATTATAAAACTGACATGATATTCTCTCATATCATATTAGTTATTAAATTTAATCTATCATATAAAATTAAATTTAAAACTAACATAACATAACATAATATAATATAATATATATCACATATACATATTATATATATACGAATATATATATATATATATATGTATACATATATATTTTAAATATATATATATATAAAATTATATTTTGAATTTTATGTTTCATATAAATATATATATTTATTTATTTATTAAATAAATATAATAAATATATATATATATATATAAAATTTATTCACCTTATATTACATTTATTGAATCTAGATATATTCCAGATTCAATGAACTTGGACATTATAGCTCGAGTTGGGTTGTTCTTGTGTGCGACCTTGTAGGCCCACATGAAATTGACAGTAGGCTAATTACGTTATTAGCTCACAAGTCATAAGTGGCATTTAACAAAACATTGCAACTACCCAATTCACATAGGGATTAATGATCCGATGTAACCTATCATGCAACCATATCACATTCCTTTTGTCACGCGATATTTCGATCAAGTATGAGACATGAAATTGTCATTCACTTTTACTTGACGGTTACTTTCTCAATCTCTAAGTAGACTGACAGTAGCAATGGCAAAACCCTTTCCATTGTAGTATGGTCATATATTTTCTCAGTCTTACTCATAGGGGTCCAGTAATATCTCTTACTTAATGGGAGGGACAAATTTCATCTTGACCACTCATATTCCTCTGTATAAATATTACTAAATTCAATCATAGCCTTTATGATCACCCGGTCAAATATGACTTTTGACTAGGTCAAAGTTCAGTGGTCATCAAGTAGGAATCTATGATGATATCAGGTCAAAGTGCTTAGTGATATAGTTACATATGAGATAAGTGTATGACTTGTACTATGCAGTTTTTATAATGGGTCAGTCCAGCACTTTGTATTCTTTCAAGTGCCTATGATTTTAATTTGTATATCTATAATTAATCAAAGTCATACTAGTCTTGTTTTATCTATGATTCCTCAAAGATGATCGACCTAGGACATTTAGGACAATCACTATATTTTGTCCAAGGATACAATTAACATATTGAACATGCAATTGTTATGATAACAAAAGAGAAATTCATTAAATAACGATATGCATAGTACAATGATTGGTTCTAGGGCACAATTTCCAACAGAAATTACACTTTACAAATTGTGATTTCTTGTTCAATTTTTGCAATTCATAAAATAAAAGTTGTTATTCCTTAAAAAAAAAGTTGTGATTCAAGCTTATTTTTCAATAACAGAAGTTACACTTGACAAGTTATGATTTCTTATTCAACTCTTATAATTTATAGAATAAAAGTTATGATTGAAACTTGTTATTTTTAGTAAGAGTAAAATGATCTTTTTTTCTAAAAAAATTATTGATAAAAAAGCCCCTAAAAATTTTATTGATATTATGGTATTTTATGAGATTAAATTATTATTTATATAATTTGAAAAAATTTTATTATTATTTTTTCCTTACACTTCTCTAGTCATAACTATCGGCATCACCGAAGGTGGATTTGTTTTAGCTATAGATTTAATAGATATTATGATTAGGAAAGCAAAAGGAAAATGATAATAACGATACGGAGAGCTTCCCCTCTCCTTTTTCTTAGATGTAAAAATTAATGTAAGAATAAATGAGAAAATTAGGAATGAGATGATGTTTGCATAACAATTAGATATGATAATTCAAGTAAGTTAGACTTATTTAAATAATCTTTAATATATAAAATAACTCATATAATCAATCTTAACTTAACAAAGTGGGTTTGGCCAAAAATTTTTAAACTTATTCAGGTAGAAAGAGGAGATTTTCTTGAGTTAGATTTTAGATTTTCTTGAACTTCATTAGGGGACAAATTTGAAGGATGAGACGCTTCATGCATTGAAGCAATGACAAAAATCCCTCCAAAAATGTGAATGAATGGTGAGGGGCTTGATCTCATAGGATGGTGAAATGTAAAGAGGAGGAAGCAAGATCATGTGGGATTGTGGGGAGTGAGTAACATCGGAAAGCCAGGTGCCAAGGGATTCCCACTTTATAGAGGTTTTGTGAAAACCTTTGACTAAGGGCTACGTACTTGTCTACTACCAAACCCAAATAATCCCCCTTTCTCCTTTTCGTACGTTCCCTCTCCTCTTCCCATACGCATATTATTTAAGAATACTTGGAGAGTTTTTATGTTAAAGGATAGTTTTAGAAATATGAAATTTCATCGCACCTTTTAGTTGTCTATTTGAAAATAAAATTAGAAAATATTATTTAAAGACTGTTGAATATTATTGTAGGATTAGGGAATTGATTTAAAAATAATTTTAGATGAGAAAAACTATAATACCCCATATTTTTTATAAAAATTTGTCAATTAATAAATAATTTTTTATTAAATATGAATGTATATTTGTTAATTAATGAATGTTTAATTGTCAATTAAAAAAGAAAAGCGAGAATATTATAGTTTTTTTCATCTAAAATTATTTTTAAATTAGTCCCCTAGTCCTGCAATGATATTTTAGAATCTTTTGGATCCTTATTTGATATTAAATACCCTCATCAATCTTTAAATGATATTTTCCTAATAAGATTTTGTGAGAAAAGATTACTCCTAAGATTAAGAGCTAAGAATTCGGGTCAAGCCTGATAGGCTAAGCCCAAATCTGTTTGAAAAAATTGAGGACCGAACTTAGAAAAAAGATACTTTTTTATGTTTGCCCAAATAGGCCTAACAAATATATAAAATATAATAAATATTAATTAATTATTTCAGTTTTAGGTCATTTTGTACTAAACACCATATATTTGAGTCTCATACATCATTTAATTATAAAAAATATATTTTTATAAAATAAAATAATTAATTTTAAAGTAAAAAAATAATTAAAAATAATTTTAAAAGTAAAATTTGAATATTCA